GGTCCCACTCCTCCCTGGGGACAAGGGCCACCCCATGGGAAGCTGAAGAAAAACACCACTTCTGGGCTGACAGATGGGAGATGTCTGGGAGGGACATGGGCATGAGAGCTGGGAACTGGGGGTGGGAATGTCTTGTTAACCTGATACTGGTTTCCTTCCAGGGCCCCTCCCCAAACCCACCATCTGGGCTGAGCCAGGCTCTATGATCCCCTGGGGGAGCCCCGTGACCATCTGGTGTCAGGGGACCCTGGAGGCCCAGGAGTACCATCTGCATAAAGAGGGAATCCCAGGGTCCTGGGACAGACAGAAGCCACTGGAGCCTGGGGACAAGGCCAAGTTTTCCATCACAAGAATGACACAGCATTATGCAGGGATATATCGCTGTTACTATCGCAGCCCTGCTGAGTCAGAGCGCAGTGACCCCATGGAGCTGGTGGTGACAGGTGAGAGGACACTCAGGGGTCCCAGCCTCAGGCTCTGCCCTCAGGAAGGGGGTCTGCTCTCAGGGTGTCTCCCTCTCACAGCCCAGCCCTGGGGGACATGAGGGAGGTGTGAGCCCCATTTTAACACGCTGCCTCCTCCTCTCCTAGGATTCTACAGCAAACCCAGCCTCTCAGCCCTGCCCAGCCCTGTGGTGACCTCAGGAGGGAACGTGACCCTCCAGTGTGGCTCAGGGCAGGGATTTGACACATTCATTCTGACTAAGGAAGGAGATCACAGGCTCTCCTGGGCCCTGGACTCACAGCGACAGCCCAGTGGGCAGTTCCAGGCCCTGTTCCCTGTGGGCCCTGTGACCCCCATTCACAGGGGGATATTCAGATGCTATGGTTGTTACAGGAACAGCCCTCAGGTGTGGTCACACCCCAGCGATGCCCGGGAGCTGCTGGTCTTAGGTGAGGCCCCCTCACCCTGTCTGCTGGGCGCTCAGCTCAGAGTTTTATCCCCAGAAGAATTATGGGCTGAAAGGGAGTGAGGGGCTCTAGGGCTGGTCACCCAGAGATCTTCTCTTGGAGACCCTGCTATCCTTGTTCACCTATCCCCCTCACCTTGGTTCGGAAAGTGCCAGGTGGGCATTGGGAGGGTCTCATGGGCCACAGGGCAGATGTAGGAGGAGTCTGAGTGAGGTGGGGACTCCAGGGCCAGCCCCAGGCTCTCACCCACTTCTGTCCTCCTCCCCAGAATGCTCTGGGATCCCAGTACCACACCCACAGGATCCAATTTGCTCAGAGGGAGACAGACCACCCCAGGGCGGTTCTGAGTCCGGCAGAGGATTGAATTCCACCCCCCTCCCCCACCCTCCTCACACTTAAGGACAGGCTTGTGTCCCAGGGGGGCTGAGAGTCAGGAAGAGATGCTGGGAAACCCCAGGCTCCTAGGCTCTGAGCCTGGCAGGTGACAGGCGGGAAGGTCATGGTAGCAGGAGATATTGAAGCCCAGGCTGGGTAGGAGCAGCCAGGTTCAAGTGGGGAGAAGGCAGGCCCCACCCATCACCCCACATTTTGATATCCAGGAGGCTCTGAGGATCCGCAGCTCCCCCCCATGGAGTCAGGACCCAAGAAGGGTAAGTGAGGGTCTCTGTGGGAGGTGGTGGGTGCCTCCATGGGAACAGCAGCAGAGCCATGTGGGGGTTCAGGTGCCGCTGGAGATGCTGACTTGAACCCACCCTTTCCCTGCCTGGGCCTCAGTGTCTCCAGGTGTAAAAGGAGAGAATCCTTGTCCAGAGCTTAGATTTCCTGTCGGTTCTGGCCCTGACCTCCTGGGAGAGGGGCCTCACAGGGAAGCCCTCAGGACCTGATGTTACCTGGTTCATCTCCTGGCTCTGCTGCTTCTGCTGTGGGGCTGGGCGGTCCCTTCTCTCCTCTGAGTTTCGGGTTCCTGTCTGCTCATCCCTGGTCCCATCCTGCTCACAGGCTGCTGGGAGATGAGGTGACATAGGGCCTCACAGAGTTCAGGAAGGCAGAGCCCCCACCCCAGCCTGACCTTCCAAAGGGGGCTTCAGGGCCTGCAGGGTGGAGTTGGATCCAGGAAAGACTCAGAGTCCACTCCACACCCTGCACCTCCTGTCCCTGCTGTGCTGGGGGTGGGTAATGAGGAAGGACCCTCAGCTCCAGATGAGAGATAGACAGGCCTCTTCAGAGGAGGAGCCCAGAGGAGGAGCCTGGGGGGCAGTATGAGGAGACCACAAGAAACCCACAGTTCTGGTTTCCAGTCCCAGCCCCGCCCCGTCCAGGCTGGGTGACCTGGGGCACATGATTAACCTCTCTGAGCCTAGTGAAGTGGGTGGTGGAGTCAGCAATGCCTGGTGCATTAGTGCTGTGAGATGAGAGGAGATGAGTGACAGACCCTGGCACACAGTAGGTGTTCATTAAATGGCATCATTGGCTCATTCATGACATCACCCTTGTCCAAGGTCTCAAATGGTACATGATCATCCTGATCGGGGTCCCGGTGGCCCTGGTCCTGCTTCTCTCCCTCCTCCTCTTATTCGTCCTCCGACACCGATGTCAGAGCAAAGGCAGGATGTCAGGTGAGTAGGGAACGGGGTGACCTGGGTCATAGGAGGGAGGGGGGCTCAGAGCACCTGCCACAGGAAAACCAAATGGATGGAGAAGGTCAGCTGGGAAAAGGATTTCTCCAGAATATTGTATCAGAAAATGTAGCACTCAATGTCAGCACATGTGTATGTATTTAAGGTAATCTTTCATTATTGTCAATGACATGAAATATGAAAGTTACACACGAGTGTGTGTTACGTTTTCATCTTTCCCATGGAATCACGGGGGGAAGGGTTCTAACCTCCCAGGGCTGAGACTGTCCCTCTTAACCAGCCCAGAGAGTGGCTCATGTCCAACCTCCTGCAGGGACCACAGACCCAGAGCCCAAGGACAGAGGCCTGCAGATCAGGTAATTCCTGCCCTGAAGACCCCAGACTCCGACCACCCATGGCCCAGCTCTGCCCCTAACACT